ATATATAGTGGTACCTTTGGTCACCAACGCCTCTAATCACGAACAACTCTGCTCATGAACACAATTTCCGAACAGATTTTGACCGGTCCGGGGGTTATCGTCCACGGGAGGAGGTGGGGGCTTTTGTCTGCTTGCCCCAAAGTCGTGTTTAAGCGTTCGTGCGCCGAGGCATTGTTGGAGTCAAAATTTGTTTTTGTTCACGGGGGCTTTTGTCCGCTTACCCCAAAGTCATGTTTGAGCGTTCGTGCGTCGAGGCATTTATGCAGGTCGAGTCAAAGTTTGTTCGGAAATTGTGTTCGTAGGTCGAGTTGTTCGTGACTAGAGGCGTTCGTGACTCGAGGTACTACTGTATCATGAAAACTCATGACATCACTTTTGTACAGATCCTCTGGAGATCGAGTCGGCAAAGCATCGGGTAAAAATTACTGTCGAATTGAAGGAACGTAATCATTTCAATTTCTCGTTGCGTAGGAATGCGAAAATTAAGTTGCGCTGAGCATTTCACGTCTACTGAGGGTTGTTCATTTCTATAAAGCCTGAATAAGTAGTCGTACTGTGCTATTCAATATATCTTATATGTAATGCTCATATACGTATTAAACAAATGTTGATACAGAGTCCCATCTAACACTGGTGTATTGTACTTCCACAACTTCTGATTCATATTCAGGTGCATGTATTTGCAACGGCTAAAGGGCAAAACTATAAATTTCGTTAAATTTTAATTCCCACAGAGAATGACCAGGTGTAAAGGAGGAATTCAAAATTTAATATTTTTGCCTCTCGACAGTTCAAATGCAAGTCATTGAGAAACTTATTTACTTCGCCAGGTTATTCCTTCAGCCAATCTCGATGTTTTCTTATAATCATGGGTCGCTCAGGCGGCACACTGTTTGCAACGGTTCCCGTCCTGTGATAACAAGTGAGTTTCGGCACAATGAATCCGATTCTGAATCAAAACCTCCTCAGGGGTCTTCAGCTGGTCGGTCGGTGATACCTGTCTCGCTTTCCTTTCTGGAAGCATTCGCTAAACGCGCCAAAACTGCAGCAGCTGTGACTTCTCGAAACAGAAACAGTGGCTGTGAGCTAAGGACAGCTACTTCATCTAACCAGTTTCGAATATGTTAAACAGTGTTAGTCAGTCGATGATAAATGACTGTGAAATTGACAAGGATGTTTCAGGAAATCAATGTTCAGAGTCGAAAGACAAATATTCACTAGCTCTTGATGATGTATGCTCAGCCACCATCCGTCGTTCAAAATATTCATTGCAGTTCAGAAGATTGACAAGATTTTTAAACTTTCAGTCATGATCCATTCTGTGATTAATTATGGTTATGGTCGCACTTCTTTATTCAGCATCAATCTAATTAAATTTTATTCTAAATATGCTAACTCTAAATCCATATGTTAATAACAAATCTCTTTTCCTCGTTAGGCAGCTGTCTCTAGCATTCATAAACTACTTTCGAGTATCTTAGTGGCGCAGATGAATATATCCTGCCATACTTTGTTCTGCTGCAGTCGAAACTGGCATGGTCATTGTAATGACCATGAAATAATATATTGATAAGCCGAGTAAGAATTTTTGCAATCACGGATTGTTTAATTTTTTAATTTCCAGCTGCTGCTGAATGCCTGAGCTTTTCACTCGAAAAGCTGTTCACTTGTATTCTTGTTTTAGTTCGAAGATGCTGTTTCTTTCCGTCATTGCTTGCATTCTGCTGGTAGCCAATGGGCAATTCATGACAGGCGGTCTACACCAACAGTCTGTAAATGATCCTGATGCGGTCAAGTACGCGTGCGCTGCTGTGGATGTGCTGAACAGTCAAGTTGAAGGTGGCGTCCTTCAAGTTCTGGTCGGAATCAAGAGCTACACAACGCAAGTGGTCAATGGCGTCGTCCATAAAGTGTCATTTTACGTGGCGGAGTCGGCTTGTTCAGCAGGCCAAGTTAGAAGTTTTCTTGATTTAGTTAACGCTCTGCTAAACGTGGTGATTTGATTTACATCAAAGGCTTAAATTAGTCAACTTTACAGGGAAACAATTTGAGACAAACTTGATCTCAGTCGTTAAAAAAAGCAGTCAACTGAAATAATACTACCTGACAAACATAATGGTAATATTCGGCGATGCAGCTATGTTGCAGAGACCAGTACTGATGACAAAGTTTCACCCCGTTCCAACTGTGGTTGTAGGATTGCCATTGTTCCGCTGACAAATTTCAATGATTCTGTTATCCAGCTAGGGTTCTATCAAACCACCAATAGCGGTATGAGTGTTAGTAATTGAGTTCATAAATGTTCAGAGAGTAGTTACCTGTAGAGGGTTCAGAATTCGAAAGCCCTGTGAAAAGTCCAACTGTTTTCATTTCATACCTTGCGACCTCATCAACTAGCTTCAGCTCTTTCCGTCTGAGAAAGAAGGTGTTCCAATTTCCGACTGTATCTAAGCTCTGACGGTATGGGTTCAACTGAGAACAGAAAGCTTCTCACTGGCTGACAGGTATCTTCAGCGTCTTCTTATTGATCCTCGGCCTCCTTCGCCTTGTTCCTTTGCCCCGCTACCAAAATTCGTGATCGCGGACGAATCACAGTCTTTCGCAGTTCCCCAACAGTCTGTGAGGTTCATTGTAATCCTGGCAATGAACAAGCAGATACCTGTTATGGCATTCGACAGTGCAATACCATGAAGGGCAGGGGATTGAGTTTTCACCACAGTTGCCAATGCTGCTCCTTTGTTATCCGGGCGTTCAACCGGCAACCGCGAAGTTGAAGGCGAATGTAGTTATATTAGTTATATCCATTAACAATATTTCTAGACACTACATATTGGTTCTTAACACTATATATTAGTAACGTTGAATCTACAGTTCATAATAGACCTTTCGAGAAAGCTCGTCTCTATCTGATTGCTTAAGAACTTAATAGGTTTCTTTGGACACTTCAGGATTGAATGGAATAGTAAAGACATTAGTTGAATCAATCAAGATGATCATTGCTTTGAAGAGTGAAATTCGTTTCTCTTTCAAAACACCCGGGAAGGGAGGGGAGGAGAACTCTGTAGTATCAAACGCGATCCCTTAATGATTGTATCAGCACATGATAAGAGTTGTGCTGTCCACTGTAGATAAGGTTTCACAAGTCGAATGGAATATAAACGCTCATTATATGTATGCAATTCAGTCTCGCGATGATGTCGTTCGATAAAAGATCAATCATCTGCTAGGTTGGGTTCTACCAGAACGCCAACACCGGCCTTAGCACGAGTCGTAATATCGACGCCTGAGTAGAACAGCTTCCATCCATTGAGGTTCAGAAGTCCAGAGCCTGGGCGTTTTGTTGACGGAGTCCAACAATGTCGAGTTGGTACTTCGTGGCCTCATCAACTAATTCATGTTCTTTTCCTCTGAGTGAG